ATATTTAGTAACGATCTGTTGATTCTAAAGGAGGATTCAACTATGTATCTTTATTTATGTACTCCTGCACCGCCATAGTCTTATTTTTTGCATTATTGTGTTTACTGGGAAATATTTCTCATCTGGTTTTGCTTTTTATAGGCTGGTATAAAAAAAGTAAATGGTTTGTGGGATAAAGCTATTAAAAGAAATAAGACATTATTATCAGCAAAATCATTGCCACCAGTAGCATCATCACCATCATTATCGCCATCGCCACCGATAACATCATCATCATCATTATCGCCAACATCACCATCTCCATCATCTATACATAATTACACAACACATATAAAAAACACACATCGCTAAACACTATACAGCAGCTTCTCGTAACCAGTAGTACCATTAATTTGTCCGGCGTGTTGGTTATTAGTTTGGTTGGTATTTTCTTCAAAGCGGGGCATAAGAGTTATTATTGAGCAATTTGCATCTCCATCTATTAAGTAGCAATATCAAGTAACACAATTAGAGTGGCTCCAACTAGAAACTATAAATGTTGTTGACGCGAGATTATGTAGATTAATAAGGTCACTAACGTCGTTTAGATTAACTGGTGGATCAAAAGGTAGAAAATGGCAGAGACGAAGTATAATTGTAACTCACAGGAAAATAAATCACAATAATTTTTGAGCAGAGTATTGAAATTTTCATGTACTGGTAAATTCTAGCCAACCAAAAAGGGCAATTCTCATCATTGCATAGGAATACCTTTAGTCGGTTTAGCCTCTAATATAGTACTAGTAAAAGGCTTATGCCAATCACTGGCACTCAGCAGACCGGGATATTGTTACCAGCTCGTAATTTTAAAAAACAGTAACGAGAAAGTCCAAGTAATGCAAAAATTAGATGCATAGAATTCGTTGGAATTAGTCCGCGTTATGTTTAATAATTACAGATTGTTTACATTTTGCCCTCGTGACAAATACAGAGCCAGGTGGAAGCCAGTTTGAATCTCAATACAGCTCCTGTTCAAATGGTTTACCAAACAGCCCATTCCAGCTGCGTGGTCGTATCCAATTCACTGCACTCTCTTTCCCTAATAATGACAAATCCCTTCTCAGGCTACGTGTTCATATCAAAAGCAACTTCAAAGCAAATGTACGACTGAATACCTTGATCCGATAGCAGTGCAGCAAGTTTGCTTGCCGTGAGAGTCGCATCTTGCGCGTTGTCTACAATCAATCAAATCAATAAGTCCAACGATCAGATAACTCATTCCGGTCCCTTCGCCCGTAATATATTACCTCCTTCCATAGCAAATAATATCAATACTATCAAAGCAATTTCTTCCTTTTTACAAAGACTCAACAAATAGTTGGAAAATCCACCGCCAACAATGCGAGGATACCCATCATATGCTTGAGGCTTCATATAGTCCTCAACATTGGGAGTCTCAAGAGTCTTAATATCAAGTGACGATATGCGAGACTGAACATCGGGTGATAAGTTATCTGTCGTAAGTATTCGAAAGGAATCGCTACCAATGGATACATAATACATAAAGAGTATTAGGTGAATGACGGAAACAACATATTCATCTCTGTAGCCAAAGAAACGTGTACGTACTCACCCAGTCAACTGCACATCCCTTCGCTGCGCGGCATCAGCACTAGCCAGCAATATCATTCTAGAAAATTGACATTCTTTAAAAAAGGTAACCAAATTGCGTGCATATTGATGCCATTTCCCCTGCAAAAGAATACGACAGAGAATATCGACGTTTAGCCTGCATTTTTTTACATAGCAAATTAACGACACTTTCTAATACAATTGATTCACCTTGTGAGCAGGCGCACGCTGTTGTATAACCGTCAATTGCTGGTCGGAAGACTGAAAGACTAGGCAGAGTCAATACGACATTGAACAAAACGGAATGCCCGTGCAGTTAAAATTACGGATAGATGCCTTCAACTGAAACAGTAACTCCGGTGCCTTCAGTTACGTCCTCCCGAGCGCCGGAAACGGAGACAATACTGTCGTCCTCGATAAACCCAATGCGCTTGAGGTTTAGTGTTGTGATTAAGAGATCTACTGCCAACTGAGGGACGTTTCCAATTGAAACTGCAGGCTGGGAAAAAGCAAAAGGTTAAATTAGGCGATATAAAAATTACCAATACACACGCGGCACTCTAATGTAAACGTAGCAATGCGTACCACTATCAAGCAGCTTCCTTTGAAATTTTCTTTGTTAAACCCACGTTCAGGTACAAAATTATTCATCTTTTCACCCAAAAGTTTTTCTCACGTCTCCAATTTGTAGATCACGATTTGGTGATAACGCTGATATATATAGATCCTCAGCCAGAATGATCGATCGATCGTGTTTTCTTGCAAACAAACACTCTAATACTAAATACGTTAAAGAACACGATGATTTGCTATAAACGGATTCTCTCCATGAACCCAATTTGCCTAGTAGCCATTCTAATACTGCTTGTCGGCTGTACGCAAGTGTATTCTTCAGAGGGCGACAATAGTAAAGACTTCAAAAACTGTGTTTCACTGTGTTCATCCGCAACGTGCCCGAGACGTAAAATACCACCCATTCGTAGATTGCTTCAATGGTCCTGCGAAAACGAATGCGAGTACGAATGCATGCAGGAGATAACCGAGACAGCGAAAGAATCTGGAGGCGAAATTCTGCAATACCATGGCAAATGGCCGTTTGTTCGATTGTGGGGAATGCAAGAGCCGGCGAGTGTGCTGTTTAGCGCACTGAATGGATACATGCACTATCAATATATAAGCGTATTTAAACGACAGATTGCAGATGGATATTACATGAAGAAGTTCTACGTCTGGTGCTGTTATATCGGAGTGAATTCGTGGATATGGTCTGTTATATATCATTCGAGAGATTTTGTATTTACAGAGAGGATGGACTATTTTGCAGCTGGGCTTGCAGTGTTGTATTCTCTTTATACGGCGGGTCTACGTGTACTACACATCCGAAAAACTTTCCACGTAGCGTCATGGACATTTGTGTGTCTCGTTGCATACACTTTACACATATCGTATTTGTTATCTGGTACTTTTGATTATAGATATAATATGATAGCTAATGTAGCGGTTGCATCGATTAATAATGTCTTGTGGTTTTATTGGACCATAATGCATTGGAACAAGAGACCAGATGATGCATGGAAGCCTGCTGCTACTGGGGCGTTGGTGTCGTTGTTTTTGTCTCTGGAATTGTTTGACTTTCCTCCTATCTTGGGAATCTTCGATGCCCATTCACTTTGGCATCTGTCGACTATCCCAGTCATTCCATTCTGGTATAATTTCCTGCTTGTAGACGCGGAGAGGGAAGATCATAAAGAGAGGAAAGGAAAGAAAACTATGAAATAGCTTTGAAAACAAGGAAGTGTTATTGATGGGGGGAAGACCTCTATAAATGTTAATATGTCTATAAACAAAAGAATAAAATGTAAATGGAAAAATAATTATTTAATAATAAATTAGTTAATTAACTAATATGTAATAGTAACAATAGTTATTAATTAAAGCCGCTTTTGTGGAATGCCGCTTTGCGGGCTAACCAGAAATAGAGACGTTATGCATAACAAACAGAGTACCTTGCAGCAACAGATTAAACTTTCCAAGGATTTTATTATAAGGGGTTTGCCCGTGGATTTTAGGTTCGCTCATCACCGAGAGTTTGACAGGAATAAACAATGTTACGCCGTCTCTGATGGGTGCCGTGCAACGCATTTTTGACACGATACAACTCGTGCTAAATATACTCGATCAGGTTCCCATTGGCTACAAGCTATGAGAATTAGGGTACAACGAGATTTTATTAAATCGTTTATTTTCGACGTATCCTCTTGTAGATTTTACAAGTTGTAAGAGCAGGGTGGTCGGCTGGTCAGTCATTCTATAAAGTATTATAGCAGAAGACATTTTTTTAACAGTCTTGAAAACGTTCAACGTCGTTATTATCCAGTAATCGACGCCAACGCGGAGATGGTAGACTCGAGATAATAAATCCAGCACTTGATCATGCATTCTCTCCTCCGTGTTGAAGACAAGAGGCCCATATATAATTTGCTGGTGGTGCAGGCATAACAAATGTCGGTGGTATACGTGATGCACCTGGCGCACTTGGCGGAACCAAATAGGCATCCCATTGACGTCTACCATGAAATAGAAAAGAATCAGCAAATAATATCCGATACAGTACATGTTCAAATTGACACAAAACTCTAACGTTTTGTCTGCAATAATTCGACCATCCACATGAGATCTATCTTCTATGGCCGCTTTTCCTTCAGTTAAACAAATATTCATCTCTGTTTTGACTCACCTTACTGCTACCAAACAGTCAATCTCCATTTCTGCCTGATGCCAATACTCGTAGCACAAATCTCTCTCCCGTTCTTGCTTCTTCATTCCCTCTTCGATTCCTTCCTCACGTTTATTCTGTACCGCTTGCAAATGCTCTTTATCAAGACGCTCTTGCTCAATCTTCATTGCATTGGAAAGCGATGCAACACGGGAGAAGAATTCATTATCTTCCTCCGGGAAGAAGTGACCTATCCCCCAAAAAGTAGCCGATTAGAAAATGGAAAGGTTCTCGGTAGAGTAACATCTCACTCGCAACACTCCGAGCCTACCTTCGCGTTTGAGTCGTTCTCGTCGTATGTCACGGAGTTTCCCCACTTTTTCAAGGAGCTGCGTTAATTCCCTGTGTCGTAATTTTTTCTGATCGGCAGCTTCAACGCGCTTAATGGCTTCGTTTCTTCGCGCTTGTTCCTAAAATCATAGAAATTTATTCTCAAGTTTAATAATCAATCGATTTACAGGCTACTCGTGTTCACACCACGATCTCCACATCAACATACGCGCTTCGAAGCCAACTCTTTGGCAATCCATTCTGTCCGCCATTCGTCTATTAATTTGTGAAGAGTTTCACGTCGTCTTTGACGTTCATCACGTACGGATTGGAGGCGTTTTACATGGCAAGTGCGCCATTTCTGATTTGCAAGTACAAAACTTGTAAATAAATGTATACCAAATCATTATCATTTGAGGATAATGGATTCGCCAATGTACCTTGTGTCTTCGAATCTTGGATAATTTTTTTTTGAGACGGTTTATAAAAAGCGGATCGGACAGTTCCGATATGAGCGTCTTCGACTCATTCTACATAGAGATGAAGGCGTCAATCCAATCCGATGTGACCGCTATTCAGAAATTCCCACTTCAAGCTATTTTTGACCTTGAGTTTCTCGATCACTGCAATCCGCTTGTTCCACTCTTCTTCTTTTTCTTCTTCTTCTCCCTCACTCTCATTCTGCAACTCTTCTGCTTTTCTTTTCAGTTCGCTCAGCAGCTCTTGCGCACGGATGTATTTCCGTCGAATTGTCGAGAGAGTTGGCAAACGTTGAGGCGGTGAGTATTTCCGTTGCCTGAGCCAGGATCGGAGCCATAGGCTATCTACCGAGGGGGAAGGAAGTCTAGAATGGCCGTCGACACCAGGTGGCTGAAGGGTGGATTGGCTGATAATATTAGGATATGTATATTGGGGGTTGTGATATATAGTCTGTTGTGCGTAAGGGTCCATTGTGAATTTTCTTGAGGCGATCATCCTTATTTGGGCACAGTATATCGCAAAAGGTATGATAGGTATTCTTAGACTATTATTATATTTCTGAGTATTACTTACAGTACGTATAGTATATATTCCTGGAGAATTTGTAAATAAAAATGCTTGGTTCTTGTCAAAGGTAACTGATCCTTCAAATAAAGGTACACGTGGACTCAATAAGTTTATGATTTATGGTTATAATTTAGTAGTTAGAATTCCAATATTGGCTTTGACATTACTAAGTTTAGTAAAAACCTTAATCGTATCCAAATAAGGATGCCAATACTTGCATGCGCAGACTTTCGATTGTTAATAATCCTATCGATGGTATTATTCTCTCAACAGCCTTACAATAACATTCTTAATAAGGCTGGGATCCCTATTTGTGTCGCAGTTGGTGCCGAGCGGCCAAATGCATGGAGACTTTACATTATATAAACGAGATTATTGGGGAAATGATCGAGGATAATTCTGATAACAACACATAGAATACCATCTATCATGATCTTTGTCACATCTTGAGAAGGAGAGTAAATACTCTAGTGCGTTTGGAGATTTGCCTATACCAAGAAACAGTGATGCAGTCGCAGGTATGGGGTCACAGGCTGATATTGACATGTTGATCTTGTAGTTTACAAAATATTAATACTGTCTATTATTACACTCTTCCAACCGAATACAGTTTACTTATCACAATATTTATATGTAGTTAGGCAAATAAGTTCTATATGTCAATACGGATCGAATTAATGAGAAATAAAATTGATGCACAACATAAGTGCCTACAAATCAACTAACGCGTGATAATATCAGCGCAGATAGTTGTTTGTCGAGAAAGAGAATTGTATAGGTAAATATGCCGGACTAGTTTACAATTGATAGTTGCAACTGATAGTTATGAAGCGCATATTGTAGCTGCGTTGTTGTCAGCAAGAAACCACTTTGCGAATTATCGCACTTTTAATAGACTTAAATACTGCTATTTTCCTTAGTAAAGAAACCGTTAATAGAAAGCATTAATTACATGGTATTAACTCTGCAAGTATTCATATTTTTAGCAGTCCGTATAAGGAGACGTTTATGAGATGTTTGATTAAATAGTCACGATATCCTTGTTTTTACATAATAGCAAATTGCATATATAATATAATTTTCGAGTCATAATAAAACGCGTTGCTTAATAGTCTGCTAATCAATTAGTATAGTAAACCATATGAAAATTTCTATTGTTCTGTACGTACTGTGTAAATTGCCTTTTTTACCCTTATTTTTGAACAAATGAAAATCATTAAGAACTTTTAGTGCAATAATTTTTATACCGGTTTGAAGCCAAGTGATTGTACTTTTTGAAAAATAATAACGTGAAATTTACTGTAATAAAAGACGTGGTATATACACATGTGAAAATGTATGGACAACATATTGTACGTATGTGTATCATAAATACCGCCACTTCATCGGACTGTAGCTTTAAGACGATAACAGGACTGAATACAGTATATCATTATTTTATTGGCCTCCAAATGGTACAAAGATTATTGTGACTTACATAGTACGTATGGGCAATGGAGATTTTAGGGTTTACTATGGTAGCCTTAACTAGCTCATCGCCGGATACGATGCGATGGTGTCCGTTGAATGAGGAATATGTTATCTCTTGATTGATTGGAATGCTTCATATCGAATCTGATGTATTGTTAAAACTATACGTATTCACACGTCATTAATTCGCACAAGTAATATATTGAATACTGCTTTACAATATGTTGTTCACCCCTTCTAAAGGTATGATGGTTCATCGCTCACTAAAAGTCCATCGCCCCTGACTATTTTGGTAATTGAAAATTTTATATTACCAAATATGGTACGGACGATAAACTAAACTAGTGAGGGCTACCTATGTTCCAGTGACGGATACTTTTGGCGGGGAGTGTATTGTATATACAGTATATAAAAATTTTATAAAACTAATCTAGACAACAAGAGACTCTCGACTTAAGAAAGGAATTTGTTGGGTCCCGATCACTTTCTTATGTCGAGAGCCACTTGTAGTTGATTATGGGATTGTGGGAACATGTATGCTAATATATTATTTTGTTGTAGGCGTAAGTCTGTAAATACTGTGATAAGGAATTCTGTTACCCATCTAATAAGACAACAAAAGCCCATTGAGGGAAAAAGCTTTTGTTACAGATTGCAAATATTGCAAACTTGGCGTATTTCGATATTATTAACAAAAACAAATATGGAGAACTCTTTAATAATGAAGAATGTTTTGAAGAAGTATATTGTTGTTTGAACAGCACGAACGAAGGAAATAGTGACACTTTTATACGCGCCTGTCGGTTGGGGAATTATTTCTACATTAAACAATAATCCTGATGCAAAAGTACGTGTATTGATTGGCAGTATCAACCCTATTTGCCGATAGCCGGAAAAGCGGTTTACACTTAGCTAACGACGCAAGTATCTTTATACCAGGGAATAACAAAATAAGCAATTTATAATTTAATACAGTTTTTATTAGAATATAAGGGACTATTCTTGACACGACCGATTTTTGCGCCTGACACTGGAATTACCATGTGACTTGCTTATCTGATTCATCAGTAGTAGAAAAAGAGGCATCCACAAGTATCGTTCAAATTAGATATACAATTCTCCGCTAGATTCTGTCTGTTTGATTGCTTCTGATTTCTTTTATTCACATATTAATATTGTCAATAGACGAGTAGCTCATTAGTCTGAAATGCACATTTGATATTTATTTTCGGAAAAGAATAATCGCTTCTTGTCCTGCGATTATTCCCATAGCATTTACAATATTAATTGTTCATTACAAAACGCGTTTGTTATAGTTAGGAATACCCACGTACCAAGTTTTACGCCTCCCATTGAACTTGTAGGCTACCAACTTAATCCCATCGGTAGGGATTAATTATCAAGGATACGATGTTTGGCTCAAGCAAGTTCTCAGAAGCATCGTAAACGCGCCATCAAGACAACAAATACTTTATCTTTACTGTCCCAAGTAGGACTCATGCAAACTCTTTATTCGATACTGTAAAGTCGTCCGGAGCGAAAATTAAAGATATTCCTCTATTACTATACCAAGGAGGTCATACACGAATTGGCCAACCATGGATTGGGTAAGTTTCTGTTCCTGCGACTAAGTAAGCATCACTTATGTAATCTACTGAATCAAAGTTTTTTCTTGTTAGGATTAATATTCCAAGTATCTTGATAATAATGTTTTCTTTTCTTGTTGGTTGCTTTCTTGAGTCCTTTATTTTCCAGATGGTGTTCTTGGCAGAGCTGCTGAACTATCTGCATAGGCTGCTGAACTATCTGCATATATTGACGCCTTTCACGTGTACGACTTGGCATCCGAATCTTGGCATCGCATCAAAGTCCTTGTAATACGTCATCATCATTACTATAGCCCTCACAAATATTATACAAGTCGATATGTAATAGTTTATGTGATGCGATGATTGGTGCGATGTACGGAATAGACTTTGCCATATAAGACAATAATACGATTATATATTTAATTTGTTGAATACAATATTCAACAGCGATCTAAACTGGTGTTAGATAGACGGGAGACAATTTTTTGGAACATCATGAACATATTGAGGTATTTCAGCGAGAGCGATCGATTATTTGCGTGGATTTGTTGGTAAGATGTTTATTGTAGGGATAAGTAAATGTTGTCATTTCTAAATACCCATTTTAATGAACAGCATTGAGCATGAACAGGGAACATAGGGAAATTGAGCATTAAGCTTCTTTGTAAAATATGGGGAAGTAATGACAGAAATGGTGCGATTGAAGACGGAAACTGTCTACTGATAAACGAAAAGTTTTCTTATTCGAGTGAGTGGGCATTATAATTAGAAAATGTGCGTAGCCTAAAACGATTAACTATGTGTGCAAAAAAAGGGTAGTATGTGCGGGGTGAGGCGAGCGGGCGTAACACTAGGCGATCACCGTAGATGAAGTAGTGGGTTGGGGAATACCTTTTTATGGTTGAAAGAAGGCACCCGCACATGAAAACTGAAAAATAAATTGAGGCCGTTTCATCGCAAGAAAATTGATACCTTTTATGAGTAATAAGAAAAGGACGACACAAGCACATGCAACACAACACGACAGATGCATGGAAATTAATTGAATAATGAGCGTAAAAATTGTGTAAAAAGAAAAAGATGTTGGGCAAAGTGCAGCAAAAGAAATTTGATACAGCAGCGATAGCATGCGACAGTGTTATAGCGTGAAAGTATGTACAAGTCATCAAACAGGGAAAATGACCATTGCAAAGTACCAAACCAAAAACTCAACAAACATGTGACAAACGACAAATTTTTTGGCGGGAGGTCTTGCATTGCATAATAGTAATATAATGCAAGAACTGCCGGATAAGATCCACGTTGAAATTACGGAATTTGGATATTTGAAGGTTAGTGCGAAAGCATTTTTAGGAAAATAGGAAAAGTACGTGCGATAATTTACGTAATGTGATGTCACATTTACGACACTTATGGAGTTAGACCGTCGGCGAAGCGACGTTTCTATTAATTATCTAGCGGCAATTCTCAGCTATTTATGTCGCTACATTTTGCAAATGGGTTCCTGAAATAACGTAAGAACATATAGCATCTTTTATTTCAGAGCGATGTCGTTAATTCCTAGAGCTCGCACAGCAATCGAAAACCTGATCCAATCCTCCTTACCAGATGAATTTGGTTATAAGAAACTTGAATGGATTCCTTTCTGGCGAATTAACGACATAAAGCCAAGTCAAATTGACAACGTTCGTTACGCTGTATGCAATAGTGGTAGACCGGTGACGATGATGTTACTGTTGCTTGGAAGTGAGGAAACCTGTACGCCAACATTTATGAGTGAGTTCGCTAGAATATACTCGCTTCCAACGCACAAATACAATAATGATGTCGGTCAATTTAGAAGAT